TTGATTGAAATTTCAATAAGTGTAATATCAAAACGTCGTAACTTATAATAATAGGTATTGATGGTATTGAACTTTCAACGATATGCCAACAGCGTAAAGTTTAAATTATATTAACAACCCAGAATTTGTTATTCCTTTTTAAATTTGAAACTGCGACCAAACAATATCAAAATTTTGCAGTGTTTGAAATTTAGAATGTGTGAGTTTTGGCGACATCGGCTTTGATAGTAATCGAGGCTTAAGGCATTTCCATTGTTTTTTTCTTCTGTGGCTCTAAGAGAAACAAAACAGACTGGTTTTTCTTCTTAATTGAATTAAAAAGACGTTCAAAATGGGCAATAAAAGTCTAACATATTTTTTTCTTTCTCTTATAACTTTGGCCTTGTCTTATAACCGTGTTAGCATTCAAATATGTAGCCTGTACGTGTAAGTAGAAGTTACATAATATAACATTTCTAATAACATAAGAGCAGACAAAACTCCAATTTCCTCTAAGTGCGAGGGCGTGTTTCCGAATTGCACAGATTTATAGTCGTATAATAAATTTCTTTGCCCTTTTCTGGCCCATTAAATGGCATGAAAAGTATCTAATAAGGCGAAATAATTTATCAGAACAACCGATGCGTTTTGTATTATTTTATTGTGGAATAGCAAATTGGCGATTAAGTGGATGTGTTCCATTCAAACCTCTTATATGCGTGGCAGAAAACCTCTACTAATGACGTAGTGGCGGATTATTTATCAGTAAAACAAATAAGGAACATCAATTATACCGAGTAGTTTCTTAAACTGTGACAATATTAGGAAATCCGACACAATTGGAGATGTAGGGACTTTGTGTTAGCAATTGTTAGGTATTTTTTGTGAAAAGGTGACGGGCGCAGCAGTTGAGATCTTTGCGATTTAAGGTAGGCGTCCACAGATCCGCAGCGCACGCATCGGATGGATCGCATCAAACGGCTCCGTTTGTGGTAGTGCGTCTACTGACTACTGTATCCGCAGCAATCGGATTGCCGACGCCATTTTTCGTAGCGAGCGGACGAGTCTAACTTGTGTGTGCGAGACTATGGATTTGGAAAGTGATGAAGAATAATTTGTATTGGTGGCTTGTTTGTTGGCAGAAGAAGAGAAAAAAAAAGAAACATGATACCTGGATACTTGATATATTTAAGAAGAGATCGCAACTTGGAGAATATCATATGCTATTTCCTTAGACTATTGTTTATTTTTTTAAATTCTCTTAGGCTATTTCCTAATTTGCTAAACGACGACGTAAAATTCTTACAGTATTTTCGTATGTCTCTTGCTAAATTTACTACCACTTACTTACTTACCACTGATACGCACTGATGACGTTGTCGGCGTCCGCAAGCAATCCGTATGACGTTGTCGGCATGCATCGGAAAAGCGAGCAACTGTGTCGGTCGGCATTACCGACAGGCCGGTGCGATTTTAAGACAAGTATGCGTTTGCGTTGCATAACACTGGTCGTGCCGATGCGCCTTTCATTATTATGCGACAGTATGCGTCTGTACACGGTGCGTGGCGGTCGCGCACGTGACATGAATGACTTTTGAGGTTGGTTTTTTTAGTACTCTGTACTGAAATTATACTATGGCCACGTAGAGGGAGAATAAAAAAGAATAGAGAAGCTTCTCGCGTATACTAAAAAGGGATACCAACAGAGTATCTATAAATTCTGGATTGTCTACTTTTAAAATTTTACCCTGTTAAAGAAATTGAAATGAAAATGAAGCCGTGGTAACCTAATGGTTAAACCTACTGCCTCTCAAGCAGAGGGTCGTGGATTCGAATCCAGACTCGCACCTCTGAGTTTCTTAATTTGAAATTTATCATGAGCTTTTCGGTGAAGGAAAACATCGTGATGAAACGTTGAAGAAGGTTCAAAGTCCTCGGAAAACGTGTGCAGTCCACAACCCTCATTGGGCCAGTGTGGTGGACTGTCGCCTAAGCACTCGCCTGAGAGGAGACCTATGCCCAGCAGTGGGACGTATGAATGGGTTCATGATAATGATGAAATCTGCCGAGTCTAAGGAGGGAGAATCCGCCAGACCACATTTAGCTTGGTTGAGTATTAGTAATCAAATAAAACAATTATGACAAATCATTACTTTTTTATTGGCCCTTGAACAGTATTAACTTAGCATACATATTTCGAACTGAAAGAGTATTGAAAAGTAAAAAAAAATACAATATTTAAAATGACCCATAAATTGGGGAAAACATAGTGGAAAAAGCACGGTATCCCTAAAATCAGCTTAAGCCTATCTAATTTAATTTATACGTTATTTATTTGATCTCTCTTTCTCGCGTATCATAACCACTGCTGGTAGAAGCGAGATGGACATATTTGACAAAAGTAAGATATTCTCATTAGTTTAGGAGGTTTATACGATGCAAACAAAAATCTTTCAATCAAGTAAAACTCTTCAAATATCATCTAAAATACATGAAATCGTAATATTCCAGGCTTGTAAGAGTATTTCACCAGTAATTCATACAAGAAAATTCATTGATTGTAATGAAAAATTAAAAGTTACGTGTGAAAGGTTATGTTGGGAATTTTTCGTTCCGTACGGCTTTTACAGCCTAAAACATAACAATGCACCATTATTGTGAGCTGCAATAATTGTCAATTACTACAAAGGAACGGTTAGTATCTTTGTAAAACACTCCTTAAAAGCACAAACACATAAAATCGATGCACTTAAAACACTCGGAAGGATTTGCTGGAGTCAACGAGGGTTGAGTCATACAACCAAAACCGCATACGTAGAAAGAGACAAAAATTAATATTGTTTTCTCATTTACTCGGATATGTCTGTGCATATATCTATTTTGCTTATGCGGTTTCTATTATTTATAGAGCCCCTTTACCCAATTCTCCCTCTTCGTATGACCAAGACGTGTGCCTGCGCTTTTGCTTTCTGCTAAACTGCCTGCTTGACGTTTTCAACTAGTACGATCTAAAACTAGTAGATGGCGTTGTGATTAACTTTTCGAAAATGCTGATGTGCCATAGAGTCATCACCTGACACTCCGACGTTTATGATATTTATGAGTTAAAAGCGCCAATATGGCTAAATAATGGCGAAGAAGTAATACATAAAAGCAGATGTAGTACATTCTCCCGAGGGTCAATGGTCACTGTGTTGCTAATATTGGGGACAATTTATGGGGAGCCATAAATCAGTGAGGACCCTTATTTGGTTGTACATAGTTTATGCTTTCATCTTTTGGGTCGGTAGAATTTTATTTGAGTTTTTATGATAGTTTATTATAATAGTTAGATATTTAATGATTCATTATCTTTTGAATTCTCGTAATGGTTTTATAATTTTTTTTTTCAAGAACGACGCGTTGATATCGATTTGAAAAGTTGAACTCCCCGTCATGTATAGCCGGTAGAATATACACAGACAGCTTATGACTCTATTATGAGGCTCCATAACAGTTTTGTGAGTTTATGATCGTGTACAACACGAACAGCCCAACGTTGGATGTAGTCAAGTCGACCAAACTGGTATTTTGGGAGCTCTGGCTCAGAATGCAAGCAATACTCCATAACAGGGTCGTGGTGCTTTTTATGAGTCGGTAACCCGGTCCATGGCTTCGCTCTATTGAGCACTTCGAGTTTTTTGAAGCCAGTTTAGCTTCGTTCTCCAACCTCGATAATTTATGTATTGCTACAGGGTATCCCTGCCCGAGTTGTCCAAACTTATCTAACTTTCTTTGGTCACAACTTCTAAGCCTATAAAGTTTACAGCTTGATGCACTGTTGACTGTACCTACGTATTTCAAACCATAAACACCAATCATTTTGACATTAATTGTAAAAAAAATAGTTCTTACATTGTCTTTATTTTTGCTTTTGAACGCACCAATGCAATTTCAATACACCATTACGATACAATCAATACTATAACGTTTTTTGTAAGACCGGATTGATTTTTAAATCTTTCTTTTTTAAATTAAAGTTTCTGTTTACCTAGTTGATACCCAAAAATGCGTTATTATTCTAAACCTATAAGATGATTTATATTTTTTTTCGTTATGTTATGGAGAACGCATGTGGAGAACCCAGGTGCAGCACGGGTCCGCAGCCTTGTTTTTACATACAGTACCTACGATAAACCACATTTGCACTTTTTTTTATATACTTAATATTAATACAAATATTATGTTCGTAGAATAATAAAATGACTGAGAATGACTAAACAAGTCGTTGCTAGGCAACGTAGACAAGTCAAAAAACAAACACGACGCGCCACCGACCGAGCCGGTTTAAACAAGTTTTTCTCCGGTTAGTATAGCAAGATGAAATTTAACAAACAAACTACCTCCATTATTTGTAGACTACAACTTGGTCACGTGACAATTCCTGCCCACCTATTTAAACTCAAAATTATTCCTGACCCTGCTGCACATGCGGGGCCTGTGGGGATCTAAAATAACTTCTTATCCTTCGCCTTAATTGACCACGATACTTTCATATCCGAACTCCTGACAATCAGTGTCCCATTCCCCACCTCCATCCACCCACAAGTTTATTATATTTATGCAAAAAAGATGTTTACAATATTCTGGCCTTATTTATTGAAAATAATAATATCAAGCTTTAATATGTATGCCGATATATAATAGGTACCCACCTTCCCAATCCTTTTTCATCCAAATTCCGTACCTCTTCCATAATCTGTAATTCTGCTTTGAAAGCCCTTACATTGGCTAAATACGTAGGCAAAGCTACTAATATTAAAAAAAAATAAAAAATCTGTGACAGAGGTGACGTTGGACCTTAGAAGATGGAAACCTTAGACTATTTTTTCCATCCTCTAAAATGGAAACTAATACCTAGTCATAGTCTGAGAAAAAAAGAAAGCTTTTTGTGAAGAGAGAGAGAGAGAGAGTTGAAGTTCATAGACATTTCGTTTAGGTTTAACCTTAGACTATTTAGACTCTTTTATTTTTTTCCATCCTCTAAGGGTTTAACAGTTGAATTTGTGCTGTAAATAATGAACATTAAAAACGTCGAGTAAATAAATAGTGCTAAACGTGGTAAAAATATGACATCAAAAACTCTAATGGTCATCATACTCTTTGTGATAAATTTTCGTATGTGCTGTACAAAACAGTACGATAAATACACACTATTCAGTGTGAAACCAACAACAAAAGAACAGTTACAATTTTTGCAAAACTGTGCATTGCAGAAATACTTTGATGTTAAATTTTGGAATAAACCTCACAAGCTTAATAATGAAGTGCAGATGATGCTAGATACAAATGAAATAGAACTGTTTTCGTATAGAGCTCAAAATCTTAGTTTAAAACCCACCATTATAACTGATAACGTACAGAAGTAAGTACTAAAAATAGTAAATAAATAAATTTCCTAAAGCATTGCAATACGACTTTAGAATATCAGCTATGGAAGTGACAGGCACCCGTAGTAGGCTTAGAAACAACAAACACAAGTCCTGAGTCCTCAAACAAGAAAATTGTTTTTAGTGCAGCCACGCAGCAATGTCAGCATTACTGTGATCTGGCTTTGAAAGGTAATGGTGCTGATAAATGAACGGCACATGGGACTTGACAACTTTGTCTCAGGGTGACGGGCGTAATGGCAGTTGTCTCCAGATTTTTGCGATATAACGCTTTATATTGTTATATATAACGCCCAGGCCTAGACTTGTTCGTTCTGTTACTTGATATCATGAAAAAAAGTTAAATTGAAGTATTTAGTTTCTTAATACGTTTTGATTTCACCTTGCAACTGCAAAGGTATTCAAAGTTTCATAAGCTATCTCCAATATGCAGGTTTCATCAGAACGTTTTCCTTGATCATTATTGCAAGTGATAATAGAAACACTAAATTGCGCTTAATATGTCACTTTTAACAGTATTGTTTTTTTCTGTTTAAAGAATATTCGATAGACAGACGATAAGCAAATACCTAGGTTTTCGGAGAAATGACACATTTGATTGGAAATCGTTTTACGCACTTGAAGATATATACACCTGGTTAAAAGACCTTTCTACAAAATATGAAAAACAAGTCGTACTTGAATCAATTGGAAAATCAAATGAAGGCCGAGATATTTATTCTCTAGCTGTACGAAAAGTACAAGGAGATAAAGAGATTGTTATAGTGGAAGGTGGAGCTCATGGTAATGAATGGATTTCTGTAGCATTTGTAACTTACTTAATACATCAATTACTTGAATCGGACAATCACGAAGATGTTAAATTAAAACGAATAGCTGGACGATATCATTGGTACCTGATACCAGTGTTAAATCCTGATGGCTATGAATATAATCAGAAAACGGTAAGTGACACAGAAATTATATTATTTAGAATCACTTTTGTAATAACAATCTAAATCTTTTGTAAAAAAAAAACCAGTGCAAAGATCTATAACAAAAACACATAGGAGAATTTCATTAACTTGATAACTTAACCTGTAGCTCAATTGGTACAGACCAGCACTACGGTACAGCGCGGTCATGAATTCAAGTCCCGTTGGGTTGAAGAATTTTTTCGTTGTGTTCAATCTTTGTATTAATAATTATAACAAAACGAGTGGAGTTATTTTACCAAAAATCTCAATAATACATTTTATCAAACAGCGACATGAAAGTCAGGTTGTGGTAACTGTAACGTTACCAGCTATGAGAAGGTTTTTAAAATCTCTCACTAGATATGACTTACATTGCGGAAAGTCGAAAAGATTAGTAGAAAGGTCTATAATAAAAGTACATAGGAGAATACAAGTCGATAATTTGACCTGTAGCTTAGTGGATATAGAAGCAGGCCGGTACAGCGTGGTCATGAGTTCGAGTACCATCAGGTTGAATCTTTATGTTCGATCGTTTTATTAATAATCATTACTTTTGTAACCTAAGGCTCAATTTACATTGTTGCGGAAGGGAATGAAAGCTAATTATAGTAACGAAATTTTACGTGACATTACTAACTTTGTATCATGTATTTTTGGCATGGCAATGTATGACAACGTTTGTCGTTAAAATTTTGGATATTTCTAGTTTTGTTTATAAAAATTCGTTTTACTCATTAGGCCAATTAACATTGCGGCTTCACAGAATGGGACGGAAGCGTCAAACATCGCCGACGACGGCGGCGGAATGCGCGAGAATTCCGCGGAAGACGCGCGATGTGTTTTTTGGCTCGTATCTAGTTTGTACGTTACACAATTGACCATAAAGTTCATTATGCTTTACACAATATCGTTACAAAAATTCGCTTCAAGTCCGTTCCGCCGCAATATAAATTGAATTTTAGGTAACGTACTTTCGATACCAGATTGAAAGTTTTTGATACCTCTTACATTTACGAAATAATCTCCTGGGCACGCCTTTACGATTAGACCCCGTATGGCTTTGTCGTTTTATTGTAATTATATGCAATGATTTTTGTGTATTGATAACAGTGTTGTAATGTTAATAGGATCGAATGTGGAGGAAAAATAGAAGACAAATTCGGGGCAAATATGTCGGCGTTGATCTAAATAGGAATTTCGAATATAGGTTTGGAAGTAAGTATTAGGTACTTTTTATACGCTTATAGAAGCCCTG